ACGAGCCAGCAGCTGCAGCTGATTGACGAACAGGTGCTGGTGCGGGGAAATGGGGAGGACTGTTCCAGAGACAGGATGGGGGGGATGAGGGCTGCCCCAGGCACTGACTCCTCTTCGCCTCTATAGGATTCGTATATCCAGAGCCGGGCGGACACCATGCAGAACATTGAATCCACCATTGTGGAGCTGGGGTCCATCTTCCAGCAGCTGGCGCACATGGTGAAAGAGCAAGAGGAGACCATCCAGAGGTACCAACTTCATAGGCATGGCTGGACAGCTTCCTGCTCCCTTCCCTGCAGCCCTAGTGGGGGGCTCATCCCCCATTCCTGAGGCTTGGAACCAGTTCCCCACACAGAACAGTGGCCATCTGTAACTCACCCATGTTGGCCCTAGGGGCAAGCTTAATCTCTGCCACACCCAGAGCCTGGAGCTCATCCTCTGGGGCTAGGCCTGGTGGTGGGGGAGTCCAGGGGCCCCATCAGTCAATTGTGTCCCCTCTCCCCACCACAGGATTGATGCCAACGTGGAGGACGCCCAGCTGAATGTGGAGGCCGCGCATTCCGAGATCCTCAAATACTTCCAGTCAGTTACCTCCAACCGCTGGCTCATGGTCAAGATCTTCCTCATCCTCATCGTCTTTTTCATCATCTTTGTGGTATTCCTGGCCTGAGCTGTCCCCTTGCACCTGCCCTCCCCCAGCACCTGGAGCCCCCGCCCTCTCTCTGGCGGAGCCACTCGTGGACATCTATGCGCTGGACTCTTAGTTCTCACCCAGGTGGGGCAGCCTGGTGCCAGAGGGGCTCTCCCTCCTCACGCTGTGACCTGTGGACTCTGCTACAGCTCTGGGAACCCCCAGGCTGGACGTCCCAGGACTGAGTGGGGGCAGGCAGGTGCCTTGGTTCCCATGTATGGTAGCGCCAGGACTCTGCAACAAAGGGTGCTGCCTGTGGGGTGCTGACACCAGTGTTGGAGGAACCTCTAGTGCTGGGACTCTCACCGGAGCCCACCTCACACCTTGTGTGGGGCTACTCCTCCCCCTATCCTGCGCAGGGGCTCACCAGCTGTCTGCATCCAGGACTAACTGCCCCCACCCTGGCACTCATCACCTAGCGGCTCTCTGGTGTGCATGGGGAAGGGGTTGCCCCCGGATGTGCCTTCGCCAGCCCTGTGGGGCATTTGGCTGAGTGACGGGTTAGCCCCGTTCCCCCCACCCTTAGTTTTATTTTGTGTATTTAAGTCTCATCCTTCTCCCATAGTTATGGGGCTGCCCTAAGCACAGACTCCCCACTCTGCACCCCTCCCCGGCCACTTGGGCGCCACTGCAGCTGGGGCTGGCCCTGACAGTTGGATAGGTCTGTCTGTATGGCTGTCAGTGCAGAGGGAGAGGTGGGTGTGTCTCCCCTACACCCCCCTCACCCTGTTGCTCTTTTGCCTAAGTAGCACCACGCGCTGGACTTCCCCAGAGAAGCTCCTGCTACCATAGGTGCTCTGAGCCCTGCGCTGATGGCCTCCCTCTGGGGTGGGCAGCACTGGGCTCCTTGCACCTGAGCTGTGATTGTGGCGGGGGCGGCAGAGCTCAGTCCTCTCCACTGTGGTCCCTGTGGTGAGCTGTGTGTGGCTCCTTCCCTTAACATCGTAGGAGGTGCTAGGCCATGGTGCCCTCCTCACCATCTCTCTATGGTCTTGCTAAACCCCAACCCCTTATGGGGTGATGCCCCTTCCCCCAGCAGAGTGGGGAGGGGCAGGGGCCTTATTCCTCTCCCTGCTGGCACTCTCGCACAATGTCCTGTCCAATGGTTGATGTAAATAACCCTGCCCTGACCTAGCCCAGGGTGCTAAGGGCCTGATCATGGTGGCTGAGATGACCCCCGGTCATGACCCTGCTGTGACTTCAGCCCCCCTTCACCCCCAGGATTCTTCCCCACAATCACCTGGTCTTAACATTCCAATGTGGGTGCTGCCTCCTCTAGCTAATGAGTCCCTTTGCAGTCAGGTGATGGGGGAGACACAGACCTGTGGGGAAGAGGAGGGGTTTAACCTGCCCCTTCCTGGCTAGGGGGAGTGGGTGCAGAGTCAGTCTGAAAAGAAATTAAAGCTTGACTGTAATCCCAGCTTGCTGCTGGCCATGTGTCTCCTGTGGGCTGGGCCCTGGGGATGGCACGGGGCTTGGGGGAGGGATGCCACTGTTGTCCTGGGTGGGGAGACCAGGGGGTCATGTCCACAGGCCCAGCTGCCACCCTGAGGTCTCTGTGCTCTGGTCTCCTCCTACCTGGGAAGCTGCTGGGAGTGACCTGCTGGTTCCTGGGCTGAGCCTGCTCCCCACACCTCTGAGCTGGTAACCCGCTGGCCCGCTTCCCTCATGCATTGAGGACTTGGACAGTGTCCTCTGACTTAGAAAAGTGAGGAGGGGAGAGACTGGGGCCATACAGACCATTGCAGCTGCACTGAGCTCAGTCTGCCCTGCCCTACCACCTGGGTCAGCTGGGTCTGATCCTCTGGGGTTTGGATGGAAAGAGGGAGAGGGGCCTGTGCTTGGCTGCTGCTTCCAGCTGGAACCTGCTGATTGTTCTCTAGGAGAGATGGCAGAGGGAGGGGAACACCAGGTCCTCCCCTGGGCTGAGCTGACAGTGGTGGTGGGAGACTGTATATAAACCAGATGCTGGGATGGGGGCAACAAGGTTGCTGCAAATAGGATAATTAAAAAGTGCTGGTGGGGGTGCTGGGCACCAGCAGAGGGCCAGGCCTAGTGGCAGCAATTCAGTTTCTTCTCAGAGCATCAGGCATCAGAACCAGGAAGGAGCAGACATGAAAGGAGAGACCCCTTGCAGGGGATGGGTGGAAGGTTCACTGAGACATTAGTGTCCTGACAAGCCCTGCAATGCAAGGCAAAGTGGGTGCCACAGTTTCAGGCTAACTTCAACTGTATCCCCCCTGTGGTCCACTCAGGTCTCCAGCTGTCACTGATCTCTGGGCAGAGACCCTTGTCCCACTCCCTCCTCACTGGGGTTTTGAGGCTGCACAGCCTTACACTGTGATATCTCCAGCAAGCAGGTTTGTCCCACAGCCAGTGCCTGAGGACTATGACCAGTGCATTGCCAGCAATTACAAGTCGCCATGCAGCTCTTTAAGCACATGTATTTTTAAGGTAAAAGCATAACAGAGAACATATTTAAAAAAAGAAGATCCTAGACTAGAGGCATGCTAATTGTGGAGATCACCCATCTGTCTTATGGGGCCCCAATTGGCTAAAGTCTTTCCAACTATTCCACAAGGGTTGGGGTCCCCCCTTAGACAGAAAGTCCTGTCTGTTTGCTGGATCAGAGAAATGGCCCTGCGTCAGTTTACCTTTGTAGAGCAAAACCCCTTCCGTTGTTGGTCTCTGGAAAAGCCAGATTGGACCAGATATTCAAACCTCCCCACGGGAAACAATTCTCTGGAGGGGTTTACAACCTAAGCCTTAAGTAATTCATCTTAATCGCCCTCTGGGGTATTGGTTCTTGGAGGAGCTGTGGTAACCCTCCCCCCATGGAGTGCATTCAGTCCCTGGCCCACAGAGATACATAAAGCATTAATGTGATATGGTCCCTTAATATGATATGGTCCCAAAAGATACTGCCTGGGGCATGTTTTTGGGGAATGCCTGTTCTGGTTGTGGATGATGTTTGTGGGATCTCTTGCAGTCTTAGGGCCCTGGAAAGTGTGTCCATCTCACCAGTTGCTCCTCTCCAGGCTCAGTACCTCCTACTTTCCACCTCTAGTTCATTAGTTGGTGTGTGGTAGTGCATGGGAACCCTAGTCCAGGGCCCTGTTTTGCTGGCACTGCACAGAGCAGAGACAACCTGTGCCCCAAAGAGGTTGCAAATAGTGCCAATCTCAAGGGGTTAAAAAAAAAAAAAAGAGTTGGCCCCCATAAAAATCACTAGATTTCTATGTTATAAAATGATCTGGGGGGTTGATTTCTTTTTGGTCTGGTTCATAAAAGGGTTTCCACCTTTTCTCTCCAAACATGGGGGCTAGAAATGAAAGATGTGGTTCCTACGTGATCTCCTGCCTCCAGGGACTTTAGGAGAAACAGTGCAAAACTCAGGATGAAATGGCAAGTGGGAAAGGGCTGAGGTTGTGCTCACTCATCCTGGGTGCATTTACCTTAGTCTTGCACATGGCACTGGGAGAAGGTAGGCTGCTTCTGCTCCCCCCCCCCCCCCACCCTTCTACACCCCCTTTGCCCCTGAAGTGGGTTTGGCTGCTGGAATACCAGCCTTCTGATATATGTCATCCCCAGTGCACAGGGTGTGATGTTGTCCTAATGGATAGAAGAGCACAGGCTTGCATGTTGCCTCTATGCCCACAAGGAAGGCAGGACCTTTGTCAGAGCTGTGGCCCCTGTGGGTGTCTGTCACACTGTGCAAGGAATGGAAGGAGTTATAATAGTCCCCATGGATGCTGAAGCTTGGGGCCTTCATAGTGGTGGTCCCAGGGACTGAGGCCAATGGGGGCAGGAGAGGGCAGCTGTCCAAAGATGAAGCTGCAGCCACAGAATGTGGCCAAGGATCCACTGGTGGGACTTGAACCCAGGATCTTGGGGGTGGGGGGATGGGGAAAAGGCAGATGATCTAGGTAGCTAGTGGTCCCACTGCCACATTCTCTGCTAGGATGCGACTTGAACACAGATCCAATTTGGGGTCCCGGCTGCCGCAGGTAAGACTCGAACTCTCAACCCAGGGGAAGCTCTGTCCCTGAGAGTCCCTCCTTCCAGCCGCAGCACATACTACAGAAAGGAAAGAGAGGGGGCTTTTGTGGGCATGCGCAGCGTTCTGAGCCGCGTTGAGCGCCGGTTTTTCTGAGCATGCGTAGTGTCGCCACCTCTTCGGGAACAAATAGGGGGAGGCGGAATTCAGCGCACGCGTAACTTCTCCCATCGAAAAGCGTCCGACGCTGCTGAGTTACGCATGCGTAATGCCTTCGGTCGGGCCGCCCACCGCATGCGCACCTTCCGGGAGGCTGTTTACGCATGCGCTCGGTCAGCGGATCGGAGCCGAGCGGTGGGATCGTTGCCTAGTTCCCCCCGCTCGGCCAACTAGCGAGATTATCCTTCCCCTCCCCCGCCCAGCAGCGGCGCGCGGAGCCCCCCCTCGATGGCGGAGGAAGGGAAAGGGGGGTACAGCGGTGAGGGGGGCTGGGTGACGCGGGCGGGCGGGCGGGAGGGGCTGTGGCTGAGGCCTTTGGGAGCTCTTGGGGGTGGCCTTTGGGGGGGCGGAGCCTTGGGGTCGGGTGGGGAGAGGGTTTGAGGGCGGTGCTTGTGGAGGTCGCTGGGGGTGTGTGGCGCCTTTGGGGTCTGGAGGGGAGAAGGTTGGAGGGCGGGGCTTGTGGAGGGGCCTCTGAGGGGGCGGGGCCTTTGGGGTCTGGAGGGGAGAGGGTTGGCGTGCGGGGCTTTGGGGGTGGGTTCTGGGGGGCCTGTGCCAGTCTCGGGGGTGGGCCTGCGGAGGGGATGCTGGCTGGGGGCTGTCTCTGTTGTGATCTAGCTCGGGCTTCCCCATCTCCTGGGGAGTCCCTGTTCACTATCTCCCAGCCCAGCGTGGCGGGAGGGCAGGGTGATGAGGGGCTCTGGGGGGGGGGGTGCAGTGGTGTGTGTGGGGGTGCGCTGTGAGCCCTGCGGAATGGACTGGGAAAGGGGTGGAAGCAACAGGGCCTGATGTATTTTCTCATCTCTACTGATGCAGACCCAGGGGCTCAGGAGGGTTAGGGGTTTAGTGTAGGCAGTTTCCCATGTGTCAAGCATTCAAAGAGGGAAGTCCCTGGATGGTGTCTGATGCTCCTTCTGCTCCTCTGCACAGAACATGATGACCGTGTGGGCGGTGCAGGTGGTGGTGGGGGCTTCGCTGGGAGGAGGAGGAAAGGTCGGGGTCCGTTCCGAGGCAAGATGTACAGTGAGGGGAACCACCGCTCGTGGAACCGGGGTGTAGCAGGTCCCAGCCCTTCTGGTCAGCTGGAGGAGGGCGACGGAGATGTTCCCATGAGCGACGCCCATGATAGTCTTCGAACCAGATAGTGAGTGAGAGGTGCTGTTGGACATTGTGTGTGATGGAATGGCTCAGGGTGGGGGGATGCCTTCTAGGGGATGCCTGTTTCAGTCAGGCCCCAAGGTGAGGGAACTGGTTGGCTCAGGGAGGCAGGGAATGGGATCTGGGGCCTTTCCCCTCCAGGGGGCACCAGCTCCACTCCAGCTCTTGATTGGGGAGCAGGGGAAAGCTGCACTGTTCCTGTGCTGGGGATAAATAGGGCCTCCGTGTCTGGAGGCTGCTGCAGAGATTTTATTCTAATGCAGCGATGACCACAGGGTTCAATCAGGTATTTCTGGGTCCCTTTAGCTTTCAAGATATCCCCCCTGTCTTTAATGCTAAGCGCTCGTGTCCCTCCGCTTCCCAGCACTCCCTATGGGTCACGGCTGAACAGGCGAGGCGATGACTGGCATAACCGGGGCCGGGGAGGTGCCACCAACATCCATGTCACAGTGAAACGAGACCTCACCCCCCAGGACCGGAGTAGCAGTGCCAGCCGCAACAGCAGCCGGAGGAGGTGGTACAAGGTCACAGTGAGTGCCGGAGGGTGAGGGAGGGAACAGGGAATTTGGCCAAGCCCCTACCCCACAGCCCTGGCGCATCCTGGTAACCCAGGGCACATCCCTTGCAGGTCACCTTGCCGTCCTGCCCCTCTGACTCAGTTTCTGAAGGGGGCATAATGTCCAGCCTGGCTGCCAAGTGTCTGACCGGCAGGCAGCTCCCTGGGCATGGGGGAAGGACCTTGTTGTTCATTGGTTGATGCTCCTGGTTCCTAGGAGCAGGGCTGCTCCCTGAGACCTCCCTAGCTCCCAGACCCATAGTTTGCTGCCAGCTTACTGACATGCTACTTACAAGTGCCTTTTTTTCCTAGATTCCCTATGGAAAGAAGTATGACAAGTCATGGCTTCTGAGCTCCCTCCAGAACTTGTCCAGTGTCCCTTTTACTCCAGTGGAGGTGAGAGCTGCACTGAGATGTCATGCAAACTGTGAGCAGGGAGACAGAGTCAGGACTCCTGGGTTCTATCCCTGTTTCTTGGAAAGGGAGGGGAGTCTGGGAGTCAGGACTCCTGGTTTCAATTCCTAATTCTGGGAGGGAAGTGGAGTCTAGTGGTTGCAGCAGGGGGGCACTAGTAGTCAGGCCAGACTTCTGGGTGCTCTTCCTGGTTCTGGTACAGACTTGCTATGCAGGCTTGGGTGAGTCAGTCCTCCTCCCTATGCCTCAGCTTCCCCAGTGGAGCTGCGGGGATGGGAATGCCTGTAGGCAGGCGTAGCTCAGCCAGGTTCTTCCTGACAGGGCGGGGATACCAGGGCTCCCTAACTTGCTTGTCTTCTCCCCTCAGTTCCACTACGACCAAAGCCGGGCCTACTTCTATATTGAGGATATGACGACAGCCAATGCGCTCAAGCAGCTGTCCCGCAAGATCACAGATCGAGACAATTACAAGGTATGATTTCCCCCTCCCCCGGGCCATTCTGTGTTTAGCACCTGGCTGGAAAGACCCCCATGGGTGAAGGAGGGATGTAATGCCTAGAGCTGGCCTTGTGCCTTCCTTTCTCTGGGGGCCCCCTTGGGCCTGGCCAGGTCTCTGCTCTTCTGGCAGGATTAGCATGGGAACATGTCCTGTGTCCGGTCCTCACATAGCCTGACAGACACCTCTCTGCACTGCATGGGCCCCCTCTGTGGCACCCCCCGCATCCATCCCCCAGTACCCTGACATGGGCTTCCTGCCCAGTGTTGGCTCTTGCCCCTCTGTGACCCAGCTTGCCTCTGTTCCAGGTGGTGCTAATTGTCAACCACTCATCTCCACCCCAGTCTGTCCAGAAGGAGCTGAAGCCGGAGGAGATTGAGCAACTGAAGGTGAGTGGTGCAGGGTAGCTCTATTGTGCCCCCACTGGGCTCTGCAGGGGAGGCCCATGGGGAGGTGCTTCAAGCCCGCACCCAGCTCTGGGAGCTCTCTAGGAAATGGGGCACTATTTCCTGATTGGGGGGCTCCTGGTGCATATTGGGGTGGGGTGTAGGGGAGAGGAGCTTGTCACACCGCAGTGGGCCTGGGCAAAACTTCCCCAGGACTCCATCCCATGGCACCCAGGGGAGCCAAGTAAGGGGCCTGCCTGCCTGCCTGCCCCAGGCCCTCCACTGCTGGGTTTTGCAGACCAGTCCCCTCTGACCCATGGTCTCTGTGCTTTCAGCTCACCATGAGTAAGAGATATGATGGGTCCCAGCAGGCCCTGGACTTGAAGAACCTTCGCACGGACCCAGGTGCGTGTTTTCCTGGCAGGTGTGGGGGGCTGGTATCGAGGAAGGGGTGTTGAGGGAACGGGTGGGGCCATGGTGTGGGGTGCTCAGCTTGTGCGTCTCTTCCAGACCTGGTGGCACAGAACATTGATGTGGTGCTGAACCGGCGGAACTGCATGCAGGCCGTGCTGCAGATCATTGAAGAGAACATCCCGGAGGTGAGGGGTGGGGATGGAGGGGGGGCGTCCTGGAACCTCGGTCTGGGCGCTCAGCGCCATGCCACCCCGCTGGGGATGGGTAGTTCTGTCTTGGATTCTCCTCTGACCCTCTGTCCACTCTGCAATTGCAGCTGCTCTCACTGAATCTCAGCAGCAACAAGCTGTACCAGCTGGATGACCTGACGGAGCTGGCCCAGAAAGCCACCAATCTCAAGATCCTCAATCTGACCCGCAACGAGGTAGGCGTTGCCACCATCCCCGATCCGGCCACCCCTCCGTGGCCTTGCACTCATGGTCTGCCCCTCTGCTCTTTTTCCCTGCCACAGCTGAAGTCTGAGTGCGAGCTGGATAAGGTGAAGGGGCTCAAGCTGGAGGAGTTGTGGTTGGATGGAAACCCTCTGTGCAACAATTTCCGGGACCAGTCCAGCTATGTCAGGTCAGTGGCAGCCTCTGGGGCCCGTGGATCGCCTGGCCCCATCACTTGGCCTCTCCTGCCCAGTGCGGGGCAATGCAGCGGAACGAAGATGCCAGCTCCTTGCTGGGAGCTGGATCCCAGCCCCTCTTGCAGTGGCCCCACTGATGGTGTTTGTCTCCCCGCATCCCTCTCTGGGGCTGGGGCTCTGGGCCCCCCCGGAGCGCATGGGACCTGAGTGCTACACGGCTGATAATGTGGTTTCTATTTCAGCCAGTTCGGAGCCCTGTCCCCTTTCCCCACAATGCACTCTACTCCCCTAAAGTAACAGCTAGACTCTGCCTCTACACTGCTTTCCTCTCCCCCTCTCTCCCCATTCCTCCTCCCTCAGCCTGGGCACTGGGACTCCAGGATGCATAGCCTCTTCTAGTATCCCTGTTCCCACACTGGCCATGGGAGTGCCACTGTCGCCACCTGGTCTGCCCAGTCGCACACAGGAGGGGCTTGTTGTCTCTGCCCCCTGATGGATGTTTAGGGGGCTGCCCCCCCATATCGCTGTGAACCAAACACTCCCGGAGCTGCTGTTATTGCCAGTCCCTGCGCCCCCTGTTTGGCCCTCAACGATGGCTGGCTAGCCAGAGACGGGTAAGATTCCTCACGGAAGGAACAACCTAAGACAGGCACAGCCGTGCAGTGGCCAAACCAGACCGCACGGCGGTCAGCGCAGAGGGGTCCTTCCTGGTGTAAGGGCCTGGCACATGCTACGTTGTTCTCTCGTGCTCTCGGTGAGCAGCTGCACACAAGCCCATCAGCGGCCCCAGGTCCTGCCATGGCAGCAGGCATGGCTAGGACTGGCTCTGAGCAGGAGCAGGAGCAGGAGGCCCGGGCTTTCCATTGACCAGAATGCTGTGTTCTCCCAGAGTGAGTCTCCCTCGAACCTCTGCAGCACCAATGCGTCTGGGGTAGGTGTGAGGAGCCATGCAGGGGAGGAAGAGGCTCTGCTCCTGGGCTCCCAGATCCCTCTTTCCTCCTGTTCTGTCCTCCTTTCCTCTGTGCCATTGCATCCCTCTCCTCTGTCATCCCTGCCCCGCGTGCCATGGCGTGGACGTTAATTAGATCTGGGCCTTGATGCAGGAAGCTTCCCCCAGCTGTAAGTTGGTTGCAATGACGGCGGCTCCATGATCAGTGGGAATCCATGTCCTCTCCCCTTGCCATCCTGCCCTTGTCTTCCCCTCCCCACCCCCACTCTCTCCTCTCTGGAGAATAGCCGCATAGGTGAGTAAGAGCCAGGTAAGTGTGGAGCCCTTCAGCCATGCGGCACTAGCCCCATAGCGTTCCTGGGCCTGTAAATTGGCCAAGGCTCCAAGATCTGGAGGGGGCAGATGTAGTAAAGCCCTGGTCTCTTGCCCCAAGATTCTTCACTAGAGCAGGAGGGATATCTGCTCTGTCCCTGCCACCCAGCCCCTCAGCGCTGGGTCCCTGCCCTGCTGGAGTGAGATGGGGTGCTGCATTGGGGAAGGGGGAGTGTGGTGGGCACAGGGGCAGCCCCGTTCTGTGGCCTGCAGAGTCAGTGCCAAGGGCATGTGGGGTGGGCCCAGAGTGGTGGGGTCAGGGAGGGAAGGAGGCCCCATGGGAGTCAGACTGGGCCCTGGCTGGCCCCACTGATTCATGTCCCATTTTTGACAGCTCCATCCGACTGCGGTTCCCGAAGCTTCTGCGCCTGGTGAGTGTTTTGCGCTAACCTGGGGCTGTACTGTTCAGGACCCACTGCTGGGGCACTCTCTGCTCACTGCTCTACCTTTGCCTCTCTGCAGGACGGCCATGAGCTCCCCCCTCCTATTGTCTTTGACGTGGAAGCGCCCACCACCCTCCCCCCCTGCAAGGTAAAGGGGTCAGGGCGTGGGGGACTTTGATTTAGGATATTAATCACTCTGCCAGCAGGATGGGCCCTGGTGCCGGACTGGGGAAGGCATTCTTGGGGTGTGGAGAGGGGATGGACTGTGAGCCAGGGCACTAACTGCTCTGCCAGCAGGGCAAGCCCTGGGGCAGGAGTTTGGGGGGAAGGGCTCCGAGCCAGGGCACTAACTGGCACATTCTCTGACCCACAGGGCAGCTACTTCGGCTCGGATGACCTGAAGGTGCTGGTGCTGCGCTTCCTGCAGCAGTAAGTACCTTGACGTGGGAGGATGAGTCATTTAGGGAGCTAGATGGGGATGGATGGGGAGGGGGCATATGGGTCATGTTGTTCCAGAGTCACAGGCAGGGGGCACAGTGCATTGAGGTGTGGGGAGAGCTCTGGGGCAGGGATAGTGAAGCCACTGTCCTAGCAGCACAGCTGCTGTTTGCTAACACGCTCTCTCCCTGGCAGGTATTACTCTGTATATGATTCTGGCGACAGGCAGGGGCTGCTGGATGCCTACCACGATGGGGCCTGCTGTTCCCTCAGCATCCCTTTCCTTTCCCAGAACCCCTCCAGGTACGTCCATCAGGGATTAGTCACTGCCCTCCCAAGGGACCGTAGGGCTGAGAACTCGAACGCCTGAGTTCTATCCCTGGCACAGGAGGGCTGTGAGGTCTATGGGGGTGGGGGGCTGGGAGTCAGGATTCTTGGGTACTATCACCAGCTCTTGGAGGTGAGTGGTGTCTTCTGGCTAGAGCAGGGGGGCTGGGTTCTATTTCTGGCTCGACCCCCAACTCAGTGCCCCTCAGGCAACTCCCTTCCCCTCTCTGTTAAATGGGGCTCACCTCTCCCCTGCCCAGTAGGGTGAGGCTGCCTCTGTTCCCATTTGCGAAGATCAGGGAGAATCTAAGAGCCAGGTAAGGGAGGAAGGTTTCCATTGCATTTTCCTGTGGGGCTGATGGGGCAGAAGCTCCAGGGTACTGTCGTCCAGCTACTCACCGGGCATCTCTTCTCAACAGGAGCATCCTGAGTGAATACTTCAAGGGCAGCAGGAATGTGAAGAAACTCAAGGACCCTAGTAAGTGCCACGGGGCTGCATCGATCACACTCAAAACAGCAGTCCCTCCTTGGAGTGATCAGCTCAGGCTCTCTGCAGACTCAGGCAGCATCACTGTGTCAGTTACACTCGAGGCAGCTCTTGCCCCTGTTGGAAGGATCAGCTCCGGCTGTTCAGGCTCAGGCAGTGTTTTTGCTTTGGTTACAGTCAGGGTAGTTTTCTCCTTCTCCTCTCTCCCCCCCCGCCCAAGTGACCAGCTCAGACTCTCTGCAGACTCAGGTCTGGGTTTCTGTGCAGGGCAGACTTGAGATTGTGGTGCTGTGACTGGGTTGTCAGGCTGGGTGGGGTCTCACCTCCCGCTCCTCCCTCCAGCCCTGCGCTTCAAATTGCTCAAGCATACGAGGCTGAACGTGGTGGCCTTCCTCAACGAGCTGCCCAAGACTCAGCATGACGTTAACTCCTTTGTGGTGGATGTTTGTGCACAGACGGTGAGTGCCCCCATCCCAGGGGCCGGGTGGGCTGTGCTGTGACGGGGGTTGAGGGGTGGGGGAAAATGCCCTCACCTTGGGGGCACGGCGGGCTGTACTGTGAGGTGGGGAAAAAATGCCCCCACCTCGGGGGCAGGGCGGGCTGTGCTGTGAGGTGAGGGGGGAGAGAGTGCTCCTGGGGGCAGTGTGGGGGACAGAGGGGGAGTGGTCGGGCAATGGGAGGCAGAAGCCGTTGGGCCATGGGCATGGTGAGGGGGTGGCAGTTCAGTGACACCCCCCCCCCCCTTCATATTGCAGAACACCCTGCTGTGCTTTGCTGTCCATGGGGTCTTCAAGGAAGGTGAGTGTCCAGAAGCCCCCTACCCTCCATTTCCAAGCGCCTCCCTGCTAAGACCCCTCACCCTCTGGCGGACCCCTTTCCCCATACCCCCCTCACTGGGCTCTGTTCTCTGTGTGTGCAGTGGATGGCAAGTCCCGGGATATGGTGAGAGGCTTTACCCGCATGTTCATTGCTGTGCCAGCTGGCATCACAGGGTAAGTGGGGGAAGGGGAGACTGCGGGGGGGGGGGGGGGGGGGGGGGGGGGGGGGGGGGGGAAGGGGTTCCCCTTGGCGCGGGGGGGGGGAAGGGGGGGGCACCTCCCCCCCCCCCCCCCGTGCCTTACTCTCAACACACACCCAGGTTGTGCATCGTGAACGACCAGCTGTTTGTGCGCAAAGCGAACACAGAGGAGATCCGCAAGGCCTTCGTGATGCCAGCACCCACGCCCTCATCCAGCCCTGTGCCCACGCTGTCGGCCGAGCAGCAGGAAATGCTACAGGCCTTCGCCATGCAGTCTGGCATGAACGTCGAGTGGTCCCAAAAGTAAGTAGGCCCTGGGGAAGGTTGTGGGGAGGGTTGGTGCTGCCCCATGGCCTATCACTTGCTCACTGACAGTGTCCCTCTGCTCTAGGTGCCTCCAGGACAACGACTGGGACTACAGCCAGGCAGCCCAGGTTTTCACCCAGCTCAAGGTGAGCCAGTGCCTGGGCCTGACTCTATCCAAGGGGCCTGGGGTCTCTCACAATCCTGCACCAGAGAGATGGAGGGGAGGAGCCAGGGGCATGTTCATTCCCCACCAGCGGCCTCAGTGCCCAGAGATTGAGGGTGGGATGGGGCCAGGAGCCACCTTGGATGCCTTGACCCCTCTCTATCCCCACAAGGATCTTCTTCTTTCCTGGGGCTGCCTTCCTCAGGGGGCCTGGTTCCATCATTCTCTGCTTCAAGGCACCTCATAGGCACAGGAAAGGACAGTCTTGTGGAGAAGGCACTGCGCTAGGAGTCAGGACTCCTATGTCGACACTATCCCTGCCTCTGGGAGGGGAGTGGTGTCTAATAGATTGGTGGGGGGCTTGGAGCCAGGATGCAGGGGTTCTATGCAGCCTTTTCCTGGGCGATGGGGGCTTTGCAATGCCCAGAGTCCCTGTGACTGGTTCCTGGTCTCTTTCAGACGGAGGGGAAGATCCCAGATGTGGCATTTCTCAAGTGAGCAGTTACCCTGCAGTTCCCCCACCACTGATGTTTTATTTTCCATGACAGTTTTTGTAAATAAATGAAAGTTTAAAATAACAAAGGTGGGGGCTTGTCGCTGGGAGCAACCAGGGGGCCTGAACTCTGAAGGGGGAGCCCCTGCAGCAGACCAATGGAGCTGGGGGTGATACAGAGGGTCCTGGCCATGCTGCCCTGCCTCCAGCCCCAGCCATTTCTAGCAGCAGTGGAAGCAAGACTGAGAAGCAGTTGTTGCTGGGGCACCCAGAAGCTTCGAGGACAGAGCCAGAATCCTTCCCCTCAGGCTTTTGGCCTGGAGGGGGAAAATGACTTTTTTTGGTATGTTTTAAAACAAGCAGTCCTGAGTGGCTTCAGTGAGCTGGGCTAGGTGTACCGCTCACAGCCCCTACCCTTTCCTAGCAGATGAGGAAGATTAAGTTGCCCTCAAACTTCAACCCTGTGGTGTTCATATCCCCCAGCGTGTACCCTCCCCCCCCAATAGACTTGCATTCCTCTCTGGGGAAAGGCAGCCCTAAAGGCCCTGGAGCCGTCTCCCTGAGAACATGCCTCAGCCATGCTGAGATTGAGATGGGCAGAGCACCTGCCAGGTTTTGGCAGGCCTTTGCCACCTGCCTGATCTCTATTGCAGCTGCTGTGGGGGTAGATAGAGCGCAGCTCCAGGAAGATGACAAGCTTCCCTTAGGGTGCTGATGGGATTGTGGGGTTGTGTGGGATCTGGAACGGTTAGTGTTCTCAGCTAAGGAGCAATGGGGCTGTCATTGGCTACACTCTCCCTTATTCCCCACCCTAGAGCTAGGGGCAGAGGGTGGGGCTGCAAGATTCCTATATGCCTAGGCAGCACTGGAGTAGCAGGCACCAGGGGTTTCCCTGCACCCATGGGGGAAGACCCTAGCTTCACCCTTCCTGCTTGTACATCTGTGTTGTGGAATCACCCCCCCCCAAGTCTTCGGGCTGAAGCAGAATGTTGCAGGCCAGAGCTGGGCACTATTGCCCTCTGTTTCGCTGTGGCTGTATGTGCTGGGACCTGCGTGTTCAATAAAGTGGTGTTTGTTAGAATCTCAGCTGAAGGCTCTGTTGGATGCATCCCCTCACCTTCCCCAGTCCCCCCTCCAGGGCCTCTCCATGTTGCTCCCCAATTTCTCTCCTCCCCCCCTTCTAAGCCCTTTCCACATTCCATTGTGGCGGATGGCTTTCCCCCAGCACAGCGATCCCTCAGTGTCAGGAGGTGCTGTGGGTAAGGGGGAGGGGCCCCTCACATTCCCCAGTCCCCCCTCCAGGGCCTCTCCATGTTGCTCCCCAATCCAAGTACCACCCTTCCAGGTCTTCTCCCCAGCCCAGTCCCCTCTCTCCCCACCCTCAACATTCCACTCCAATCCCTGTCCTCCCCTCTCCACTGCGCCCCCCCCCCTTTCCAGGACCGCTCCACATTCCTCCTGAATCCCAGTCCCCCTTCTCCATATTGCCCCCCCAATCCCAGTACCGTCCCTTCCAGATCATCTCCCCAGCCTCCCCTTCCCAGTTGCTTCCCTAGGCCCTCTCAACATTCCTCCCCGTCTCTCTCTCTCCCCCTCCCGCCCCCCCAAGCCCTCTCCACATTCCATCGTGGCGGGGTGGCTTTCCCCCAGCACAGCGATCCCCCAGTGTCAGGAGGCGCTGTGGGTAAGGGGGAGGGGCCAGGGCTCAGAGGAAGGAGCCTCCTGCCCCTATACAGAAGCACTGGGTTCCTACGTGGGAGAAGCTGAGATCACTACAAGTCCCAGACGCCCCCGCGCTCCAGCGGAGAGATGGCGGGGGCCGGGCAGCTGGGGCTGTGGGGACTGCGCTGCTGCACGTGGAGGGTGTGGGGCCCCTGGGCCCGGCTCAGCGATGCGCGGGGTTTGGCGGGCCCGGCGCGCGGGGCGTCCCCCCTGGACACGCACGTGCCCCGGGACCTGCTGCTGTTCCGGCACGAGCGGGCCCGCTTCTTCCGCCTGCTCGGGTTGTTCTGCACGGGGCAGTTCGCGTTCTGGGCGTACCTGGCGCACTTCGCCTTCAGCGAGCTGCGGCCCGCAGGGCAGCCCGCGGCCAGCGTCCGGCCCGCGCCCACCCTGCCCGGCGGGGCCTCGGTCAACCCGACCTCCAACAAGTGGCGCTACGGATTCACCGTGTCCTGTCTGACCGTAGGTGAGAGCCGGGAGCGGGCCCCGGGGAGAGAGGGACCCCTCCCCCCGAGCTGGAGCAGGCCCCTGGGAGAGAGGGGTGTGGGGGCCAGGGGAGTCCCTCCCTCTGTGACAGCACTCAGGCAGGGGGAACTGGTGATTCCAGTCCTTGCATCCTGGGGAAGTGGGGGAGGGATAAGAGTTAGGGAAGCATGAAGCGAAGACACTGGTAATGGGATTCCCCCCTCCCTCGGAACCCTCTCTCCACAGAGGAGAGAGCCCACCCTAGGGAGGGTGGCCGGTGACAGGGAGTTGTGTCTGGGAGCTGCCTGGATCTGAGTCCAGTTCATTGCCCTGGGGAAGAGGGATCTGGGACCAGAGCCTGGTTCTGCCCCACAGCTGGGCCTGGGCCACCGCCACCTGGAGCAACTGAGCGGAATCAGGCTTCTGAAACTCAGAACCAAATCCTGCTGCTGGGAGATGGGGAGGTTGCGCCCCCAGCCTTGCTGATGTCCCTCAGTTCTAATCTGCAGCCCCCCGGGTATCCCAGCCTTGGGCTCCTTCCCCCCTCCCCCCCTGTTTTGCCAGTGCCTCCCAACCCACAGCCCCCTGCTAGCCCAGTCTGGGTGTGGTGGATGGCATCTGGGGATTTCATTTTCTCTTTCTCCCCACCCCAGGTTCACTGATCGTGGCTGCTGGCTTCGTGTATTCACGCCGCTCAGTGTGGCAGGTCGTGCTGCGCCAGGGGGGACGGGATGTGACCCTCAGCACGTACTATCCCTTCGGGCTGAGCTCGTCTTTCACTGTGCCCCTGCGCCAGGTCTCCTGCATGGCTCATCGTTCTGAGGTGCCTGCCATGATTCCCCTCAAGGTTAAGGGTCGGCCCTTTTACTTCCTTCTGGACAAGCAGGGCCAGGTTTACAACCCACAGCTTTTTGACCTCACCGTGGGGGCTTACAGGAAGCTGTGATGGGGGGGGGAATGAGGGTGCTTCCCACTGCTCAAGGATCCTGGAGGGTGGTCGCTGGACAGTTAGAGAAGAGTCCCCAGATTGGGGGCAATGGACAGATTCACACCACACCAACCTCCTGACTTTCCCCGAGGACAGCAGGGCCCAGCCCCATTGAAGGGGGCACTACGTCCTGGGGGGATGGGGCTCCAATTGTGTGCTTTTGAAATAAATATGAAACTGTGGAGCAGCTGCTGTGAACTCTCTGCCAGCCATGTGTATCTGGGGCTGGCAGGGTTGGGAGGTGTTGTTCATATGCAGGGCAGTTGATCAAGGAGCAATGGACTAGGGGATACTAAGGTGGATGGGATCAATGGGGAAGGGGAGGCACGCACCATGGTGGGCCTGGGGCTCAGAGTGGGGGATTTCATGTTGGAGGGGTCTGAGCTAGGGCAGCATTTGTGCAGGGGAATCTGAGCCTGTGACGCCCCCCACATGTGAATGGGCTCCAGCAAGACGGGCGCGCACCCTGCACAGACCACATGGCACCAAGTTTGGAGAAATCAGTTTATGGGGGCAATGTGGTGCTGAGGGGTCCCCACACCCCCTCTTTCCCATGAGTAGTGAGTCCTGGGCTGGAGGGCTCAGCTCCCCTCGCCTGCATTGTCGCTGTCCCCTTCCTCCTCCAAGCTGGGCTGAACGGTGAGCCCTGATGGCCAGGCCAGCCCCTGCTCACGGGCGAGACGCTGCCAGCGGGTGTCATCACTCGGATGGGTGAGGTAGCGCTGCCCCACACGGGTCTCCAGCTCCCGCAGGGCCAGCCAGGTCTGGAAATCCTGGGGGGGGGGGATGGAGACAGCTCATCAACAGGTGCTGGAGGGAGTCCAGGCTCCTCCTATCAGGGATGCACCGTGCGCTGAGGAAGGGATCTACAGGGGATGGGGAGAGCTAGGGAGGGGGTTGAGTTAGCCATTTACTGTTGGGAGCGGGGACTGGAGACTGGGGTGAAGCTGGGCAGGGGAGAGCAGGGTGTTGAGTTCTGGGGTGGAGGGAGGTTACGTGGAGCTAGACAGTGCAAGGGGATGGAAGAGGTGTGTTATGGGGTGTGGATTGTGGGACAGAAGGTATCTGCAGGAAGGGATGTGGGTGGGGTGGATAGGGATTGAGGGGTGGAGGGAAGGTACCTGCAGCCAGGGGTGGTTCAGCGCCTTGTTCACACTCAGTCGCTTCCTCAGCTTCACCTGCAGCAGCTGGTGGATGAGGCTGACAGCTGTGAGGGAAGGAGGGGGTTACATAGGCCAAGACCTCTCCCCAACTCCCCCCCCCCCCCAGGGAGCACAGCCATTGGCTGCCAGGGCCTGCAACACCCAAATTTCCTGGAGGTGCCCTAGGGCTGCCACAGGTACATACAGGCCATGTTCTGGAGGTGCAGGAGCAGTGTGCTGCGAGTGGCATGCCACAGGGGAGTGGGGGGTCTCGCCCTCAAGGGAGATGCTGGCCCAGGTCTGCCGGGGGTACAAGAAGGCCAGTCTGGAGGTAGGGGGCAGTGTGATTTGGGTGCAGGGTGGTATGGGGGGTCTCACACTCGAGGAAGATGTTGGCCCAGATCTGCCGGGAGTACATGATGGCTGCAGTGTGGAGGTGGGGGGTAGGGGTGTCTCACCCTCAAGGGAGATGCTGGCCCAGGTCTGCCGGGGATACATGAAGGCCGCGTTCTGGATCTGATCGTTGACGTCCTCCTCCTCGTTGAAGGGGAAGGTCCCGCTCAGGCTGACATAGATGATGACGCCCACAGCCCACATGTCCAAGGCACGGTTGTAGCCATGTTGCCGCAGCACTTCGGGGGCCAGGTACGCCGGGGTCCCCACCACTGAGCGCCGGAACGATGACTCCTCAATGATGCGGGCGAAACCAAAGTCACAGAGCTTCACCTGAGAGGTGAGGGGTTAGCATGAGGGTGGGGAATATGGGGCATTTCCCTGCTGGGAGGGCCTGACTCTGGGGAGACCGGCTGGCTCGGGGTAGGGGCCTGTCCCCTCTAGGCAACGCCAGCTCTGGTCTGGCCCCAGGTTGGTAATACAGTCTTGGCTGAAAGGGGAAGGGAGAGTGGGTGCAAGAGCTAGGATGGGTGTTCAGGGAGAGGGGGCTAGAGGGATGAGGGGGTGGAACAGGGCTTCAGGGAGGTGGGCTGGGAGGCGGTGCAGGGATTGTCCCACCTGGGGGTAAGGCTCATCCGAGGCCAGCAGCACGTTCTCTGGCTTGAGGTCACAGTGCACGATGTTCCGGGTGTGCAGGTGGCGCAGGGCAGACAGGA